CAACCATGACCACACCCCCAGGATTGGCTACTCCTAATTTCAATGAAATTTTTATAATAGAAACAGTGATTCCGATGTAGGTATTGGGATGTACTGTCCCAACAAAGCTAGCCAGTGGCATTTTTAAGCAGGGCTTTGGGCCCAAGAAAGAAATCCTGGCCCATCAATTCAAAGGAGATGCTTTCCATACTTGAAGCCATTTGGTGTTGGATGCCCTATCTCTTAGGCAAAAAATGTCAGATCCTAATAACCAAATAGGTGACCTCCCTTGGATTATTCAGTAACTATTCAAGAGAATCCAAGGGAATGGACGAAGGTATGGCCTTGTAAATGCCATAGGATACGACATTTGTTCCCTTCAACTACTAAGCCCAAATGCCCCAAAAGAAAGAAGGGTTCTCATTCTCACCAAAATCAAAGACATCGGACAAGGACTAAAAGTTTCATCCCAAATGTTGGAGTACTATAAATTCATTCTCAGTCATTAATCAATGAAGATGAAAACTATATCGCATCCTGAGGTTCTTCTTGGAGTAACGTGTAGCCACCCCAGAATAACAAAAATGGGTCACCAAGTTACAAGGCTATGAATATGAGATATTGTACAGACCAAGCAAGAAGAACACTGCAACATATTCACTATCTAGAGAAGTGGGGTAACCAACTTTGTGGGCGATTTCTGAGCCTCAGTTCATTATATGGATTGAAATAAATAAAAAAAAAAAGCAGTTGAAAGCCCATGGATTCAAGAAATAAGGAACCGCGGAGAAAGCAGGCCTGAGGAGGTGCCTGACTATGAGTGGATAGATGATTTACTGTAATTCAAAGGGCATCTAGCTGTTCCACCAGAGTCCATCTTGAAATCTTGCCTACTCCATGAGTTTCATGACACAAAAACAAGAGGTCACTCAAGAGAATTGCGAACTTGGAAAAGAATTGTTCAAGACTCAAGAAGGACGTACAAAATTATATCATAGAATATGACGTGTGTCAACGAAACAAGACTAATTCTCAATCACCAGTGGGTCTCCTTCATCCTCTTCCCATGCCATTGCAAGTATGGGAGGACATTTCTATCGATTTCATAGAGGGATTGCCTATCTCCAGCATAAAAAATGTCATACTCGTGGTGGTGGATCGTTTGACAAAATACGCCCACTTCATTGATATTACCCATCCATTCACAACCAAGAAAAAAGTGGAGGTGTACGTTGAAAGAGTAGCTTGTCTTTATGGAATTCCTTGAACTATGCTTAGTGATTGTAGTGCTTTGTTTATTAGCAATTTTTGGTATGAATTCTTTAAGTTACAAGGAACGCAATTCAAGATGTCATCCGCCTATCACCCCAAGACTGACGATTAGACTAAGGTGGTGAATCAAAGCCTTTAGCAATACCTACGATACCTATCAAGTCAAGCGCCAAAGCAATGGAGTCGTCATCTACCTTGGGAAAAATTTTGGTATAATACCAAATTCCACCATGCAATTGAGCTTACTCTGTTTCAAGCCTTGTACGGAAGATCCCCACCTATAATCACTCGTTATTTACGAGGCAGTGCTGTTGTGCAAGAAGTCGATAAGGAGCTATGTGATTGGGTTGAGCTGCTGAGACATCTAAAGAAAAATTTAGAGAAGGCTAAGAACCTAAAGAAGCAACAAGCAGATGCTCATCATTGTGATGACTCCTTTGAGGTGAATGATTAGGTCTTTCTTAAGTTGTAGCCATTTCAGCCAACAATCGGTGTTCAAGCAAGCTAACCAAAAGCTTGTTAGTAAATACTTTGAACCTTATCGGGTGATGGAGAAGATAGGTGTTGTGTCTTATAAACTGAAGCTACCAAAGCATTCTATGGTTCACTCGGCATTCCACATCTCGTGCCTTAAGAGACGCATAGGAAAAGAAGAAGTCTCCCAGTGCACAACACCTCTAGTTTTTTAGAAGGTTATCTTATGTTTGAGCCAATAGCTGTCAAGGATTTTCGTTGGATGAAACACAGTAACAAAGTTGTAGCTGAACTATTAGTTCAGTGGAATCATATGCTTGATGAACAAGCCACATGGGAGTCAACCGAACTGATTCAAAATTAATTTCCAGAGTTCAACCTTGAAAGCAAGGTCGAAGTTCTAGGGGAAGTGCATGATGGACCTCAAAGAGTTAGGAAATGAAACCTATGTTATTTTGGCATGCTAGCCGCAGAACCAGGAGGACCAATTCAAAGACAACAGAAGTGCGCCTTGGAGCTAATTCTATGGGGAATATCTAATCCATTTGCTTAAGTTTATGAAAGGGGTTTGTTAAGTTTGTTAAGTCTGTTTAGGAGTCTAAGTAGCCATTGGGTTTACTTGTTATAAATAATTCTTTGGACAATAGAATAGGGAATTAAGAAATTTGATTGTAATTATGGTTTTGCCTCCAGCACAAATTGGAGAATTCTATTGCATTCCAATACTTCAACGTGAGTTATTTGTTGGGTTCCACAAAATTGCCTTGATTCTATCAAGAAGAAGCTTTGGAATCATATCAATGATACCATGTGGACTTTTTCCTAATAGACTTACCTGGCCACTATATAATCATCCAGTGGTCTATAGTGACAGTCTTCGAAGATACAAAAATTATCCTTTTTAAGAACATTGAGGTTCACCAAGAGAGAAAGGGAGAGTAAATTATTGTGTGAAGAATGTCCTTGTACTCTGCTAAAGCTTCTAATTCTGATTAAGAACAAAAACAAGAGAGAGAGAGAGAGAGAGAGAGAAAGCCTTCTACTTCTGCAACACCTGAGAAGGTTAGAAGCGGTATTTTGAACAAATTATCAATCTCCAATTGTGCTTTTAAGCTTTCAAACTAAAATATCAAAAACCAAATAGGGTTATTCTCACCTCTTTAATTATCAAATAATTAGAAGATCTTTTAATTATTTTTTAATAGTAAAGTTTGGTCACCTCAAGATTATTTCACAAGGAATCATATACAGCCTTCCCTCAAGAGTATTCCCCCACTACATTGCCGTATATAGTCCCTATGTCAAAATGGGATGAATCTTTGTGACTTTTAGGTATGCACATATTTCTCATCAGAAAGTCTATTGTGCAATTACTAAACCGAAGGATGCACAAAGGATGGATTTCAGTGTCAGAGAATCTTTGGTCAGTATTATTTGATCATTAGATTTTCTTTTTTGTTTGTCTTACATATCACGAATAAGTGGTAGCAAATTACTATTTACATTGGCAATAAATATTCCATTTTTTTTATTAAGTTAACAACTTATTGTAGTAAGACAAAGTATCAAAAACCTTTCTATTAATTAGAGTATCTCTAGCCCTTATTTATTTTTAGACCAAAATTTAAATTTGAGGAAAAAAACTAAAAAGCCTTCTCTAATCCTCTACCAAAGTCTATACCAAATCAATGGGAACCTAAACTTAAACCCAAATCAAGAAAAACTCAAACCCTTTACCCAAAAAATCTGAAGGTAATATTTTAGGCCAAAACTCTCATTATCTCTCTTTTCTTTTATGATAGAGATAATGATTGACCTCAAAAAAAACTTTATCATCAGGAAATTGTATATCAACTAATGATAGAGTCCAATCCATGTTGTACTCCTCCTTGTTAATTTATCAATTATAAATTACCCAATACTGTAACTCATAGGAATATTTTAATAGGAGTTCTTCAATCTCTTTAGTGTTCATCAAATCACAAGTGTATATGTAAAAATAATAAATGAGACAAGTAATTTATTGACGCGGAAATTCTCCTCTAAAAAAACTATGGAGAACCTCTACCTGTTCACCAAAACTTAATCCACTATCCCAAACTCAGCTTACAAGTACTAAAGACTTATATCTTAATCAATATCATGATTAGATGCTCCATTCCTTCAATAAGCCTCTCCGCTAAAACTCCGTCTTCGATATTATGTGTAGCTTCTATTGGAATAACCTCTGCAAGGATCCTCTAGGCCTCGAGCGATCATGGGCAGGCCAATGATCCTCGGATTGCACACCCCAAATGATTCAAACCATTCAAGATCTTCAACACCAAGTTGTTAGATGTGGTAGAATCTCTAGAAGGTAACCTTAGGTTGTGGTGGAAGCCATCTTTCAATACATTCTTTCTAAGGACTCAGTTGTCAATGATCTCGATGTGGCCATTGGTATAGCTAGGACAGTAATTCTCTTGCCTGATCTACAAAATTTTGAGGATTTGGATGATGATTCTTTGGCAAGAAGCGCCCTTTAACTGATGGTGTTGGTAAATGTTAGATCACATGTTGTAATTGACTAATTTTGTAGAGTCCATATAAATTTGAACCTATTTCATGGTCATGATGCTATAAAGATTGAGATCCAAAAGTGTCATTGAAGGGAGGAGATTATGCATCAAAGTTACATCACCTTAGTTATCTAGGTCATTACCTTATTCCTAATCTTGAAGGTGCATTCGGAGTGTTATGATCCATTGGTAGTTAACTTAGGAGGATTAGGGTTAAATGAAATCAAATCTAATTCGTGTATGGACCTTAGATGTTTTTCAACAAAAATATTTTTTAAAAGCAATTTGTGTTTTTGAAAACATAATTTGAGTAATTATCGAACCCCTCTTGAGCAACATGTTTTAATGCTCAAGATGACAAGTCTTTTGCTTGATTTTAGGCTTAAAAAATCAGTAGACACCGCCATATGCTCACTAGCATTCGCTAGAGCGGTCTCTTTATAAATTAGAGAAGAAAAGGAAAAAAGCAAAATGGATGAGATTAGAGCTCACCCCTTGGGGTCGCTTGAGCGGTCCTTGAGGTCGTTCGAGCAGTCCCTATTTTTGCTCAAGTGGTCTATTCTTCTAGGTCAGTTTGAAACATGATTTTCATTCCTAAGACCAACCGTCCTATGCTGGCCCTCCTACTGATCAAGCGATTCTTCGGGAATCTAAGTTTTCTTGTTAACCAAGATTATCCTTAATCCGAATCTATAACTAAGGAAAGCCTTTTTACATCTATTTTAAGCCTTTAGCATGCCTTTTGAAGAGAGAAATCCATTTAGGAACACCTTCCACTTCTTCAAGCCCCTCCGTAGCACCAGACGATGGCTCAACCACTGCCTTCCTCTTCTTTGAAACATGCCGCCACAGAACCAGTTCAGCTATGGAAGCGAAGTCTTCAGCGAGGTCATCCTCCTCTTCTATGCCAATAGGATCAGACGTCCTCTCGATTGTAATGTACTAACCCTTTTCAAGGGGATTCGCTGGGGTGGGTGAAGGATCAACCGAGCCCAAAGCTTCCCTAAGTGTGAGATCATGCACTAAACCAATAAAATTTCTGGCCACTCTACCTCTCCCCATTCCTTTGTGTCAAGGACTCCTGAATGGAGAAAGGGAGATCTTTATAATGGTTGAATAGCCCTCTACTCAATTATTTTTTGGTTAGTCAAGGGTGACACAACAACGAAGAATTGATATGTAGGAGATGATCGAGATAAAAGGTCTCGAGCATCAAATTCCCAAACCTTTCATAAATTAGGGAAGTTCACCCTTGATTCGGGGATTTTCCCTTTAACTGTTTTGCCTACCAAGAAGAAAAATATGAACTCACAAGTCAGAATAAGGAATAAAGATGGCAAAGGGAAAAATGATGACATCATTGGTCACTACCTCGGGAGCCTTCTTCGTATGGACAGTTGTAGCAAGGTTCCTCACTCAATTGATGTTCCCAATTTCCCGAAATAAATAAAGCATCACATCCATGCCCCTTGTTCAAATCAGGGAGGTGGGTGACAACGTAGTGATTGATTTTTCTAACTCTAAAATAGTAGTTATTCTCAAATGTATAGGAGATAATGTATCAGTAAAGGATGTCCCAAGGCCCTAATTAGTCCCTAACAAGTCATTCAAGGCAACCACACCTAATACAATCCTAAAGAAGTTGGGGCAACATTGGAGTGGATACAAATTTAAGGCATCCAGAACCTACAACAATAGAGGGTGGGGAGGAAACCTAATTCTACCCTCTTTAATAGCCATTATGAGAAAAATGCATCCCTTCCCTGGACCCCATCAAAGGTCTGTCCTCAGCGACCTCAATAGTGACATTATCAGGAAGAGAGTACATGAGTCTAAAGTTTGGCATTTGTTCCTTCTAAAGCTTGCCCATAGTGGTAATAACAAGAGAGAAAAGGAGACTTACAAAGATCTCTAAGGGCATAAGGGAGCTTTGAAGATACATAAATGGTAAAAAATAGTGGAGGAAATAACACCAGAAGAGATGAACCTTTAAAAAGGTATGAAGAGGCACCTGGAGCATAGATAGATGGATCATTAATGCAAGTGAATGTTTTCCCATTGAAAGGACACAAAAATGCCTTTTGTGAGAAATGAAGCGAGGCCATCAAATGATGTAAAATGATTGCATGCAGAGAACGTGTCCAAGTGTGCCACCTGGGTGTAAGTGAGGAGGGTTAGAATCTATCAATTTTGACATGACAATTGTATTAAGACACGTGATAAGATCACATGCATGATCAAATCGGTTCAGTTATGCCCTAGCAAATGAAAGGCTCGATAAATCAAGAAGTGCTCGGTCATGGAGTTACCGAGTAATAGAGTCTGTACCGAGTAAATTTTGGCAAGGTAGGCTGGAGAAAAAGGTCTCAAGGAACTAAGAGTCAAGATACGATTAAACGATAGGACCAAATCAAGAGATATTTAGGCTATCTCACGTAACCAAGTGCAATGCTAGAGAACGAATAAGGAAATTTTCTAATTCATAGGTACACATTAGAAATATGTGACCTAAAAAATTGACAAGTAAGAAAGGAAGTCTAAAAAAATTCTTCCACAAATTAAGGAAGATTTGACTAAAAAATAAGTGTGCCACCTTTTATAGTCACAAATGAAACTAGAAGATGGTACAAACTACTATAAATACTGAGAAAATTTTAAGTCTAAGGTGCACACTCTCTTCCCTGTAATTCTTCTGTTTATTCTTAAAATCCTTACTAACTTAAGCAGTGGAGTACCTTTAACCAGATCACCCCTGGTCCTTGACAGTTAGTTCTTTTTGTAGGTAGAGGGTGATTTTCGTTCATGTTACCAAAGAAAACCCTATTCTCAAGTTTCATATCATTCTCAGTCAAAGGTACAAGATTTTTATCTCGTACAACTTTGACCCTTTAAAGCATTTTCTTTGTATTATTATTTAAGGAGCTTTGGGAATAAAACAAGAATTTGTTAAAAAGATTTAAGCGTAAAAAAGAGTATGTCCATTGGAGAGCTCCAAACCAATTTATGTTTTTTATTCACTTTTTACTCAAATATAAGTAAGAGTTTGACTTACTCTTGAAGATGTACTTAGGTAATAGAAAGCTGATAGGAAAGGGAAAAAAAATGTCAATGCCACAGTATCACAGTTAACTAAATGCCAAAAAAAATGACATTTCAAGATAATAATTGACCAATTTTTTTATTCAATGCTAATTATAAATTACTTGGATCAAGTTTTGGAGAATGTGTAAAGTTCATTATCTTAATACAAATCCCATGTTTAATTTCAAGGAGTAGCTCAAGTGGTAACAAAGGTGAGTTATAAATTCAGACGTCTTAAGTTCGAAATTTGGCAACACCTTGAGACCAGGTAATGAGGGATAAATCTCTCATGAATACCCTAATTGTGATATGGATGACTTACCTTTGACCTAACACCTGATTGGGGAGGGTATTTTGTTATGTGTAAACTAATTCAATAAAATAGAAACAGTAATGCACATATAGTGATGCAGAATTGCACAAATAAAATCCAAAAAATTAGAAAATAATATTAATCCAAGCCCTATGTAATCACAGTTTCCTTAAGATAAATTTGCTTCATCTCAGTACTTAACGTTGATAAGCAATTGTCTTCCAAGATATAATAGATTTCATTCTTGAAGAAGCAATACTTCAATCTTCAAGACTCCGGCGAATACAACTCTATGTTTATTGAACCAAACAAGAAAGACTAATGTAACAATATGTAGAAAGAAAGAGACAGAAGAAATTCTGAATACTTCATTCAGATTCAGGATAGATTGAAAATGGCAATGGGCAGTCTATTTATAAACCCTTGTTGGTTGTTCAGATTGCTTGAAAAGGCATTAGATGTCAATGTTTAAATTGAAAAGACACATCCTTGTAATCTGAACAGACAAAAGGCGAATCTGGAATGAACAGACCCTCTTGAATGAACCAGACCCAGTTTCGACTCTAAATTCAAAGTAACGAGTAGTTAAAATTCTGTATAGATTTTAAATTTCGGTTGAGAATTTAATTACTATCCACGTTCGGATCCGATGGTTTAATCCATAACCCGCACCACACCAAATAAATTTTGTCCAAAAATATTATATCTTTTTGACCAAAATCCAAGCCCAAGCCCGGTCGGGTTGTGGTGAGGTGAGGTGGGTGGCACATGGTAACCAAGGTAATGTAGGCGCTCACTCCTCTAACAAAAGTGTGANCTAAGCCCAAGCCCGGTCGGGTCGTGGTGAGGTGAGGTGGGTGGCACATGGTAACCAAGGTAGTGTAGGCGCTCACTCCTCTAACAAAAGTGTGGTACCTCTTGGAGCCCAACCCACGAAGCCAACTTAGATTATATGAACTNCCAAGCCCAAGCCCGGTCGGGTTGTGGTGAGGTGAGGTGGGTGGCACATGGTAACCAAGGTAATGTAGGCGCTCACTCCTCTAACAAAAGTGTGATACCTCTTGGAGCCCAACCCACGAAGCCAACTTAGATTATATGAACTCACCAAAGTGTTAGTCTTCTTCCAACCATGGACAAGTCTTATTCTACTACACCAATCTTAGTTTATTCATCACTTTAAATGAGTCACTTTAAGATATAATTTCTTATTGGGTTAATTACAATATGCCCCCTCCAAGTTTAGGTCGTGTTTCAATCAACTCCTTGCGGGTTTAATTTCAACAATCTACCTCCTTCAAGTTTCTTTTGATTTAAATTAACTAAGAAAGTGGATGAAAATACAAAATTCCTAAAATACCCCACTAATTCTATTTTTATCTCTTCTTTGTATCTAACCCATGTCCCCATGCTCTTGTGAGCCGCCAACCCCCTTCTTGTACTTCAATAATGCCCCCCACCTCTTGCTCCGACAGTCCCCCATCTTTTGCTTTAGCATTTCCCCAACCCCAAGCCCTTACTCCATCGGTTCCTTGGAACCCCCACCCTCTGCTCCAGTAGTCCCACCCCCATACCCAATGCCGACAACACCCCAAAACCCACCTCCGAAAAAAACTAAAAATAAAACTAAAACTAATCCACACACCCCCATTCCCCACTTCTACCAAGTAACCCTTGCCCACCCCTCTGAGAATAGCAACCCAAGTAATCCAGTTTCGAAGGCCTTGTTTGAAGTTCCTTTGCCATTTATAGCTTTTTCATTCACCGGTCATCCAAACAAACTCGAGGCGGTGGAAGAAGCTCTTGTCACGATCGCATCGATAGACCTTTGAACGATGTCGATAGACCTCTGAATAATGCCTAGGGTGTTCTCCATTGACACCAATTTTTCACACGAGTTTAGGATTAATCGAAACTTTGAGACTTTTTTAGGGTTTTGGTTTTCACTAGGTATGGATGGGTTTCGGTTTCACCGNCACGAGTTTAGGATTAATCGAAACTTTGAGACTTTTTTAGGGTTTTGGTTTTCACTAGGTATGGATGGGTTTCGGTTTCACCGGAGGGGGAGGGAGTGGATAATCATCGATTGAGGGAAGGTTGGGTTTTATCGAATTTTTGCTTGTTTGATGAGTTTTTGCACTTTTGCTTGTGGAGGGTTGGGTTGTTTTTGGATTGAAGGGTATAAATGTCTTTTAATGGTGTTAATGTTGACTTCTATCAATTTAGACGGTCAAGAATAACGGCAATGGGATGATTGAGATATCTTAAAACTTGAAGGGGGCATATTGTAGAAATTAAATCCACGAGGAGCTGGTTGAAACACGACCCAAATTTGAAGGGGCATTTTGTAATTAACCCTTTCTTATTTAATACTTAATGGTTTAAAACAAATAAATATACAACATTCATCTCCTCGTGGAAAAGAACATGTTTAAACTAGATCCTACCAATTTTGAAGTATGTGTCCTACTTTTTTTTAAATATTAAGTTATACAAATAAACTTGTTTGCA